ACTGTGTGCTGAAGACCTGGGGAGTATTGGGGGGAAGGATTGCAGGGTATGTATGCCCTTAGTTGGTTGATGATGCACGGAGGGGATTGTAATCATGGCAATGAGATGATATACGATAGAATGAATGTAAAATTAATGTTCTCCCATGTAAACTATCACATAAATCACAATAAAACATTTAAGATAAATAAATAAATAAAAATGAAAAAATAAAAAGAAAGAAGGAGAAGACCAAAATGGGTATCTGAAGAGACTCTGAAACTTGCTTTCTAGCATAGAGATGCTAAAGCAAATGGAAGAAAAGAGGTGGCAAAAGAGCTGGACAGAAAATTTCAGGAGTGGCTCGAGAAGACAATCAAGTATTAAAATGAAATGTTCAAAGACCTGGAGTTAGAAAACCAAAAGGGAAGAACATGCTCAGAGTTTCTCAAGCTGGAAGAATTGAAGAAATAATTCAAGCTTCAACTTGAAATATTGAAGAATTCTATGGGCAAGTGATACAGAAAATATCGAAAGAAAATAGAAGGAAGACACAGAGTCATTTTTACTAAAAAGAGATGGTTGATGTTTAACCACTTCAAGATTTAGCATATGATTAAGAACCAATATTACTGAAGGGAGAAGTCCAAGGTGCACTGAAGGCATTGACAAAGAACAAAGCTTCAGGAATTGATGGAATGCAAATTGAAATCTTTCAACAAACTGCAGGACTGAAGGCACTCATTCATTTATACAAAGAAAGTTTTAAGACAGCTACCTGGCCAACTGATTGGAAGAGATTCATATTTGTGCCCATTCCAAAGAGAGGTGACCAAATGGAATGCGGAAATCATTAGGCAATATCATTAATATCACATGCAAGTAAAATTTGTTCAAGATAATTAAAAAACGACTGCAACAGTACATTGACAGGGAACTACCAGAGTTTTAAGCTGGATCCAGACCAGGACATGGAACTATCACTGTTGTCAGATGGATCTTGGCTGAAAGCTGAGAGTACTAGAAAGATGTTTACTTGTGCTTTAATGGCTATGCAAAGGCTTTTGACTGGATCATGACAAACTATGGAAAATGTAGTGAAGAATGGGTATTTCAGAACATTTAATTGTGCTCAGGAGGAACCTGTGCATAGATCAAAAGGCAGTCATTCAAACAGAACAAGGGACACTGAAAAGTTTAAAATCTTGAATGGTGTGCACAAAAGCTATATTTTTTCACCATACTTATCCAATCTGTATGCTGAGCAAATAATCTGAGAAATGGATTATATGAAGAAGAATACAGCATCAGGATTGTCAGAAGACTGATTAGCAACATGAGATATGCAGATGATTCAACTTTGCTTGCTGAAAGCAAAGATGACCTAAAATACATGAATGATAAGGATCAAAGACCACAGCCTTCAGTCTTGCACCTCAATGTAAATAAAACAAAAATCCTTATAAGTGGACTAATAAATAAATCATGATAATTGGAAAAAGGATTGAAGTTGTGAAAGGCTTCATTTTGCTTGGATTCATTATCAACACTCATGGAAGCAACAGTCAAGAAATCACACGACGTATTTCCTAGGAAATTCTGCCGCACAAGACCTCTTTAAAGTGTTCAAGAACAAAGATGGCAGTTTGAGGACTAAGGTGCGCCTGACCCAAGCCATGATGTTTTCAACAGCCTCACATGCATGTGAAAGTTGGACAGTGAATAAGGAAGACCGTAGAAGGACTGATACTTTGGAGAAGAATATTGGACTGCCAGAAGAACAAATAAATCTGAGTTGGAAAAGTACAGCCAGAAAGCTCCTAGATGGCCAGAACTTGTTTCTTCAGACATATTATCAAGAGGGACCAGTCCTTCTTGATGAGAATGACATCATGCTTGGTAAAGTGGAGGGTCAGTGAAAAAGAGGAAGACCCCTAATGAAATGGATTTGCACAGTGGCAGCAGCAGTGGGCTCAAGCATGACAATGATTGAGGGGATGACCCAAGACCGGACAGTGTTTTGTTTTGCTGTGCATGAGGTCACTATGAGTCGGAACCAACTCTAAGGCACCTAGCAACAATAACAACATAGAAGTTGAGACTAGTGAACTTCTCTTCATGGCTAGGTGTGGCGTACTCCTGTTCAAATTATCTGGCTAACACCAGTGGTATTTCTGTTGAGTAATGGTCTAAAGAATGTGTGTTTCTAAACTTTTGAAAAAGCAAAATCCGTACCAGTTGTCATGTAGTCGATTCTGAGACATGAGTGTCAGAGAGGAACTATGCTCTATAGGGTTTTCAATGGCTGAGTTTTCAGAAGTAGATCGCCAGATCTTTCTTATGAGGTGCCTCTGGGTGGACTTGACCTGCCAGACTTTCAGTTAGCATGCTGGGAAAAAACCCCAATAAACCAGAATCTCAAACTGCAGGCTTACCTTCAGGTCTTGTAGAAGGAACCGTTGGTTTCTCTGTAGCAGAAACAAAACCGAAAACAATTACTTTTCCATGTCATCTGAATAAAATCAACCAGAACATATAATTCATTTGTTTGTTCATTCAGTCATTCAAACAAGCTTTATCTAGTGATAAGAGACAACAGAACTGCATTAGTTAAGTCAAAAGAACCACTTCTGCACATAGACTAGAGAAACTGTACCAGAATCTGACCAGCTTTCTATGGCACTTTTCTTCTAAAATGCATTCTAAAGCTTTTAAAGATGGGAATTTCCAAATATATCCAAAAGTAGAGAGATTAGTGTCATGAAGCTCTATGTACCTATCATGAAGCTTCAACCACTGTGAACATGTGGTTAATTTCATTTCAATAATAAACCCACTCCTTACGTGGGTTCTTTTAGAGTAAATCCTGGATAGTTTATCAATTCGTATTGTGGATGTTTTAGGAAACAACACCCACTAATCTCCAAGCAGTGGAAATGGTTGAGGGGATAAGTGGATCACTAGGTAGCACCAAGACAGACTGGTGATTCAAGAACTTTGGCTTATTTAAAATATTTCAGGACCCCAGGAAAGTCAGGTTGCAAAGACAACCTACATTGGATACTTTTGCTCTTGACTGGGAGTATGCCATCCCCTTGTGTGCCTCTCTTATGCTGTTCAGATGCTATTGGTTCATAGGCACAGTGTCCTTCAGGAGAAGATGTTAACAATCACAGTCCCAGAGCCAGGATGGCAAGCCCATTCCCAAGTCTCATTCAGAAAGGATAGGAACTTTTAACGATCTCTCCATACATGTGAGTGTGTGTGTGTGTAGAGGTGAAGCACATCCACTTATTTATTTAAAAACCAAAATAAAACACTTACATCCCAATACACCCCATTGCTGTGGAGTTGCTTTCTGCACCATAGGGTTTCCGAGGCTGTAAATCTATAGAGTCAGACTATCACATCTTTCTGACACAGAGTGGCCAGTGAGTTCAAATTGCTGAAGTTTAAGTAAGCAGTCAAGTGTTTAAGCACTGAGCCACTAGGGTCTTTGATACTACTATATGAGAGGTACTGTCCTAACTTTCTAATAAAAAACAAACTTAATTATCCTCATAATCTTATGAGGTTGTTGTAATTGTTAAGAGCAGTCGAGTTGGTTCTGACTCCTAGTGACCCTGTATAGGATTTCTGAGGAGCCACCAGTGAGTTTGAACTGCTGAACTTACAATTCAAACAGACCTTGTGGTCCAGTGCTTATCCTACAGCACCACACTAGGATTCCAATCTTGTGAGGTAGATACTATTATTATTTTGTTTTAATATACAAGGAAACTGAGGTAAAGGGAGATTAATTTATCTAAGATCTCACAGCTAAAATGTAGCTAAACTGAGATTTGAACCAAATAATTTAAAATGCTAAGGACACAAACTCTTGAAGTAGGCAGGGGGGATACAACTGCAAATGAAAAATAGTCCCAACTTTCTAAGGAACTTACACTCTACAGCAGGGGTGGAGAATGTCCTGCCCAAGGGCAGTATAAGGACCACAGAATCATTTGGTCTGGCCATGCCAAGGCAACCACAGTACCAACCATCACATTAGGGATGAGTTAATTAAATGTCTGACCAAATATAGCAGGCTAATTTTCAGGCTGATAATTTTGTATGGTCCGTGAATGATGTTATAAAAATACAGATGGCCCTGGTCAGAAAAAATGTTCCCTATCCCTGCTCTATAGGATGGCTATAAAGCCTGAAAATACAAGAGAATGTTAATGAATACGACTTTTGTGATCTCTCATTACAATACATAGTGTATTTAATGACATTACATGATCTGTTCATTCTGCTGTCGCTTCATGGTTCAATCCATGGCAAGATTGCAGTAAATATGGTGCACGTTTACTAGCACTCCCATCAGTCCATGAACGTGCATCGGTACTGCAGCTGCTTCAGATGTTTGTCTCTGATCTTCACTGAATACACCTGTGCTTTTAACACACCCTAGAAGAAGTAAGCGGGGGTCCCAATCTGGATAGTATGAACACACTGTCAGAGCCAGCTTGAATGATTACCATTCACCAAGCCCCTTGTCACTCTGGAATAATGGGATGATGGTGTGCCATTCTGTTGGAACCCCACTCTGTGGCCTTTAAGCACAGTCATCAATTGGTCAAGCATAGCATGTTTCCAGACTGTATGCCAACCATGCAGTAAAGGGGACAAACTCTAAACAGTGTGCAGAGTCCTAGTGTGGCACTGTAGGATAAGCACTGAACTGCTAACTACAAGGTTGGTGGTTCAAACTAACCAGTTATTTGCTCCTTGGAAACCTTATACAAGGTTGCTATGAGTTGGAACTGACTCAATGGTACTAAGTGATAACAACAAAAGTTAAAGTGTGTGAGGTGCTATGATTCTTAAAGCAAGGCTCCCAGCCTAGTTTTGAGGGGCCCTGGAAGGTTTCCCAGAGGAGGTATTTTGTAACTTCTTAAGTTAAGTAATTTTAGATTTATGAAAATTTACAGAAACAGTATGAAAAATTTCCTTGTATCCTTTACCTATACATCTTCCATATGTTAATCATTTAACCATATTAATTTACTTAATTATTCATTATAGATCAGTGTCTTTTTTCCCTGAGGGTAAGTTACAGATGTTGTGGTTATTGTTAAATGCCATCAAGTCGATTCTGACTCAGAGCAACCCTATATAGAGTTCTGAGGAGAGGCTGGTGAGTTTGAACTGCTGACCTTGTGGTTCAAACAGACCTTGTGGTCCAGTGCTTATCTTATAGTGCCACACCAGGACTCCAAGATATGATGCCTATTTTTACTTCTAAATATTTCAAAGTGCATCAAAAGAGGGAGGAGGACATTGTCTTTCATAATCACAGTGATGGTGGTGCCCTGGAGTTGGCTCTGACTCATAGTGACCCCGTACAGGGTTTCTGAGGCTGTAATCTTTACAGGAGCAGAAAGTCTCATCTTTCTCCCGCGGAATAGCTGGTAGTTTCGAACTGCTAACCTTGAGGTTAGCAGCCTGACTCGTAACTACTCTGCTACCACAGCTCCTTATAATCACAGTGGACGGTAACAAAACCAATTACTGTTAAATGTCATTGAGTAGGTTCAGACTCACAGAGACCCCTGTATAGGGTTTCCGAGGAGCGGCTGGTGAGCTTAAACTGCCGATCTTGTGATTCAAATGACCTTGTGGTCCAGTGCTTATCCTACAGTACCACAACAAAACCATTAGAGCATGGTTAACAAAGCAAACAATAATAAACAAAAAAAATTAATAGACTCAAAGTCCCCAAGTAAACCACAGTAGATTGAAAGGGCAACATTTGCCTAGGGGTGAAGCTCAGAAGGTGGGAAGGAAAGGAAAGTAGACTGAATGGAACACAGGGAGGATGTGGGAAAGTGCTGTTACACTGTGAGGAGTACAGTCAAGGTGACAGAATAAACAGTGTCTGAATAGTTGAATGGAAAACCAACTTGCTCTCTAAACTTTCACTCAAATCACAACAAAATTAAAGATAGGTAAATACAAGTTTCAGTGTTTCAGAAAAAAAAGTCCCCAAATAAAAGGACATAGAAAAAAATTCGAAATTTCATATTTCAAAAAATTTAAATCGTAAAACTAATAAAAGGTAATGATGGAAAATCAGTTTGTAACAAGTGCCTTGCTTTCACTGCTCTGAAAAGGCAACCTGCTAAGGCAGTCGGAGCTTTGGTGGGCTCCCTGCCTGAGACAATGCTGTATAACTTTGGGGCAGATCACTCCAGAGAGTTCATCTGAGGTGATGAAGAGTAGACACGTCTCTCGCAACAAAACTGCTTAGAAAACGTAGTCAAATACAAACCATTTTAAAATGGCAGGATTAGTCGGTCCCAAACTGGATACAACTAACTAGTTGTTCTATTCCTTCCAGGAAAGAATGCAGAGTTGGGGCCAGGCAGTTGGCTTCTTGGTGGGTGAGAAACTTAAGGATCAAATATCACTTCACGTTTAGGACAGTTATGATGGAGGAGTCTGGGAAATCCCAGCCAAATGAGGCTATGCACTTGTAGTCAATTCAAAATCCCTAATCTATCTGGAGTCCTGGTATGGCACTATGGGATAATGCACTGACTTCAAGGTTGGTTTGAATCACAAGGTCGGTGGTTCAAACTTACCCCCCACTCCTTGGAAACACTAATACTAATTGTTATGAGTCTGAACTGACTCGACAGCACTTAACAATAGCAGTAGTTACCTCTAGCCCATTTTCCAAAGCCATTGGGAAGCCACCTGTCCTGATTTGCCTGGTTCTCCTCCCCACTGGCCTTATGTTTTTATTCTATTTCATCTCATGGATGGATAAAATATTAGGATGCCAGTGAGTGGATCCCAACTTGTAGTGAACCTAGATAGGGTTTCTGAGACTACAAATCTTTATGGGAGTAGACAGCCTCATCTTTCTCTTCTGGAGTGCCTGGTGGGTTTGACCTGTTGACCTCACAGTTAGCAGCCCATTGCCTAACTAAAATCGTTACCAGGGATCCTTACAGAAAAGGATGCTATAGACCATATATTAAGGTAAACATTTGACTAACTGATATTAGATATGAATTGTATCTAATTGTGCCCACTTACGTACGAATTTGATATAAAGATAGATTCAGGAGTAGAACTCATTTGTAATCTGGGGACTGCCTATATCCTATCATCTATCTCTTCTAGTCATTATGGTTTCCTTGTTGTTCTTAAGTGCCATTGAGTTGGTTCTGGCTCAGAGTGACCCTGTGTAGGGTTTCCGAGGAGCGGCTCGTGAGTTTGAACTACTAATCTTGTTGTTCAAACTGACTCCAGTACATCATCCTACAGCACCCCACCAGGACTCTTCTGTTTCCTTAAAGCCCCAGAAAACAATCTCACATAGCCACTAGAAGGCTTGTAGGAGCAAGGACCAGCTTCCTTTCATATTCCTTCTTTACTTCAAGCTCTGACAGCCAACCTCACGTATAGAAAGAATAGAGATTTGGGGTTGTTCATACAGAGGTCTTTTTATCTTCTGAAAGCTGTAGTAATTCTTGCTTTGGCATATATAAATCAGATCCTTTTTCTCCATCCTTTATCTCAACAACTGATGTCGCTTTCCTTTGCTAGAATGACTCCTCACTGAGGAAATGCCACTCCATTTCCCTGTATAAGAACTCCAAGTGTTTAGTATTGCTGGTATTTGCAACAAACTTTCCCAGAGAGACCATACAACAAATGTCTTGTCTTTAGCAACTGCTTATGAAATGAGGGAAGAGGTTGAGAATTCATTCACATAGCTTGGAGAGGATTCATTACCATCAGAATATTTGCAAATAAAATTATTCTTCATGCTGCATCGGTCATCATTCCACTGGAACATGTAAGGGCCCCCGATGCCATCAGGTGCTGATGGTTGATGGTACATGACCACACAGACTTCACTCCCACAGGATGGCTCATCCACATACCAGTTCCTGCAGGAAAGGGGTCAACAGTGAAGGATACGCCAGGACTTCAGAGCTTTTATTTTCCCATCAGGTTCTAGCCAGCCATGAACTTCAGATTCTGCTTCTGAACATGACATAGAGTAAAAGAAGAATGAACTGAAAGACTGTCAATAAGTAGAACCACACACTTTCTAATACAGATGTCACAATCGATCACCTGATACCACAACCTCGTTGAAGGGAGGGATATAATGCCATATGATACCTGCAAAGTAATTATAAGAATAAGCAACTAGCAGGGCCAGTCTGGGTGATCTGATTTATTATTTGCTTTTTGCTAATTGGGTTTTGTTTCCCCCCCCCCCCCAAAAAAAAAAAAAATTTGGAAAGAGATCAGTTGCACTGAGAAGAGGCATGGTTTATTTCATTCAGAGTTTGCCCTACCACCTCTGCTTGCTTTAACAACCACAGCTGCCTTCCTAATCCTGAGGGTGGGGTGGTGGACAACAGCAACAACCCATTGGCTCATGAGTTGATGCCAACTCATAGAGACCCTATGGGACAGAGTAGAACTGTCCAATAAGGATTTCAAGACTGTAAATCTTTAGGGATGCAGACTGCCACATCTTTCTCCTGCAGAGCGAGAAAGATGGGTTTGTAATCTGTTAGTAGCTGAGCGCTTGGTGGTGGTGATTATGTGCTGTGGAGTCAGTTCTGACTCATAGCAACCCTGTACAGTAAGTAGAAGGAAAGTCAAACATTGGATAAGACTTTCCATAGTGCAGAGGCTGTCAAAAGAGGTGAGAGGGTGGGACTCCTGTCTCATTGGGGGTCCACTCAGTCTTTTTCCATTTTTAGTTGTTTCCACCTGAGCAGGTGGATGATGCTCATCCCCTCCCTACCCTGCCATCAGCCTCTGCTGCTAAGTTCCTTGCCTTTTTCTCCCAGCTCTCTGAAAGGATGTAAAAGCTCTGTTACCTAGTGGTACTTGGAATTAAGTGCCTCTGCCACCAGGTTATTCTGAAAGTTTGGTGTTCCCTACAAGGGAGGATGGGGTGACTTTGTCTTGCTTACTTTAGACATGTCATCAGGAAAGAACAATCAGGGATAATTCAGAAAGATTTCAGGAGCAGATCAAAATTGCTTTAACTTTAGATCTAAGCCAGTTAGGATGGAGGAGTCTGGAAACCTCCAGCTGACTGAGACTATGAGCTTATGTTGTTGTTGTTGCTAAGTGCCATCGAGTCAGTTCTGACCCATAACGACCCTGTATCGGGTTTCCAAGGAGCAGGTGATGAGCTTGAACCACTGACCTTGCAGTTCAAACGGCTTTGCTGTCTGGTGCATACTTTCACCCCAGCCAATTCACAACCCTTAACGTATCTGGAAGCAAATGCCAATTGCATTTGCAAGGTATATGTAGAGGGTGCTCGTATTTGGTAAAATAGAGGGTCAGTGGAAAGGATGGGAACCCTCAATGAGTTGGACTGACACATTGGACATAACAATGAGCTCAACCATAGTACTGGACAATGTTTCATTCTGTTATATAAAGTCACCATTGCCAGTGGTGGCTGTGCATCACCGGGTCTGTTTTAACTCATAGTGATCAGATATAGGGGTTCCAAGGTTGTAAATCTTTACGGGAGCAGAAAGCCTCATCTTCCTCCCATGGAGTGACTGGTAGATTAGAACTATTGACCTTGCTTTTGGAACTTAGATCTCACCCTAGTCTCAGACTAGTTAGCTGAGCCCTGCATTTCAGTCTAGCTCTTACCAGAGCCTCTCCTCAGGAAAGAGGCAACTACTAGGCAGGCATCCTGGCAGCGCCTTACTTTGGCTTTGCTGGCATCCCATGTTGCTGCCTACAAAAAGGAAGACCTTTTACTGCTCCCTCTGGGTTGAATTTCCCAGAACAATAAGAGGCTGAGCTCTGTACCTCATTAGTTACCTCTAGCCCATTTTTCAATGCCACTGGCAAGTTGCCTGTCCTGACTTGCCTTGATCCCCTCCCCACTGGCCTTATGCCTTTACGTTATTTAATATTATGGATGGATAAAAAATTATGCCAAGCATATAGTTTCTGGACTTGAGCCAGTTTTCAGACTTGGAAGCCATAGATAAGAAAGGAAGGCCAAGTTCCCAGGAGGAAAGGGCCTGGAGGTGAACATGGTGATAGTTTCCCCTGGTGTCTGGGATAAGCACTGGACTGTGAACCCCAAGGTAGGCAGTTCAAACCCACCAGTTGCTCCTCGAAAACCCTATGCAGGGTTGCTATAAGTCAGAACTGACTTGATAACAATGAACAATAACAGCATTCTTCCCCCAAAGGGATGTAGAGCCATTTACTCAGGCAACTGCACACTCAGAAAAGGAGTAGAGCTGAATATTACCATGCAAGTTGACACTGATACCTGAAGACATAGTCATCAAGTCTTCCAATGGAGTGGGGTCATACTGAGGCCAGTTCTTAAATAGAGCTCTGGTTCAGACCCAGCTCAGAAAAGAACTCACCCAGTGGTCATTCCCCAGTCTCAAAATATATGAGTGAACTTGGAAAAATTCCACTGTCTTTTAACTTCATTTTTCCATGAAGCTCCTCAAATAAATACATATATGGTAGTTGGTACACTCCCATATTGGTTCCTTAGCCTATGGGGAAAGAGCTATCATAGTGGAGAAGGTCAAATGGAGGCCTCTGAAATTGCACTCCTTTCTTCCCAACCCACAGCAAGATATTGTTGTTATTGTTAAATGCCATCGAGTCGATTCTGATCTACAGCGACTCTGTATAGGGTTTCCAAGGAGCAGTTGGTGAGCTTGAACAGCTGACCTTGCAGTTCAAACAACTTTGCAGTCCAGTGCATTACCCTACAGTGCCACACCAGGACTCCCCATAGCTAAATAGTGGTAAATAAAAAACAGGAAGGTGACGCCCTTAAAAGCCTAAAGAATGTAGAGGTAGTGGTCCTTATCCCATTGCCACCACTATCATTAAGTCTATTCTGACTCATAGTAACCCTTTAAGTAGAACTGCTCCTTAGGGTTTCTGAGGCTATAAATCTTTATGAGAGCAGACAGTCTTATCTTTCTCCTGTGGAGTCACAAGGACTTTGTGATTAGTAGCCCAATGCTTTATTCACTAGTCTGATTCCTGTAAAACGCAGGAAGATTAGGAACAAGAAGTCCTTGGATAGAGTGATATGAACAGAGAGAAGAGAGTGGGCATAAAGAAAATATCTCCTATAACATGTTAAAGCTCCCTAGAGAACATCTATCATGGAAAAGGCACTAAAACAACCAAAAGAATAAAATGACTCAGCCAACTGACATCAGACAGCCTTTAATCAGCCACCTCAATGCTGGCACAACAGATGCATGAACAGAGTAGTCATGGTGGCAGGGATGGAGGTTAGGTACAAGCCCAACAGCAGCTAGCAACACAGGTCAATGCAGAAATCCTGATAAAGCGCCAACCCAGCATTTGATGGCAGGTTGAGTACATTGAACATTTTCTACCCTGAAAGGGCAATGATTCATTTGGGTAGGAATAGACACACATCTGATCTCAGGGCCTTAACTAGCACCACTATCCAAGGGCTTACACAGTAGTTGACCTATCAACACAGAGTCCCAAATAGAATCTCATCAGATCAAGGAACTTACTTTATAGCAAAGGAGATGTGGGAGTAAACACTTGATCATGAGATTTACTGGTCATATAACTTTGTACCATCATGAAGCTGCCAGCCTGACACAGTGATGGAAGGCTGCTGAACACAAAGCTGAAGTACCAGCTTACAGGCAATGCTTGAGACAAATGGAGCATCATTTTCCAAGATGCAGTGTACTTTAAGTTAATGACCTTTGTATAGGCCAGTGTCCCTAAGAGTAAAAATACATGAGTCTGTAAATCAAGGAGTACCAGCAGGACCTCACTTAACCATGACTACTAGTGAATGACTTAGAATTGGTTTCCAAAGGAGGAATACTTCTGTTAGAAGGTACAGCAAGAGTCTTACTGAACTGTAAGCTATGGCTACCACTTGGGAATTTTGAGATCTTTGTGTTCAGGGACTGACCAGCAGGCAATAAGAGGAGTTGCTATCTTGGCAGGCGGTAACTGACTCCAATCATTATGCCTGCTCCCTTATGTCCATTATAGGCAGGGAGAAACATATTGGACATATAGGCAGTTGATCTATTTGGATACCTCTTGTAGCTCACTTCTCCACTTTTGATGGGAAATGGAAAACGACAGTCACTCTAGTCTAAGTAGTTGGAAGGTGACTGTGGCTCCAACTCTTCAGGGATGAGAGTTATAGATGAGACTGTGTCATGCTACAAGTTAAGCCACAAAGACCAGCAGAGGGTGAAGGGGATCTAGAATGGATGATAGAAGAAGAAGATCAGTATTAATTGTAACCCTGAGATCAGATGCAGGATTGGAGACACTTGTTTATACTTCTAACCTTCCTCTTCTAACTTTCTCCTAGGTAAAGGCCTACTGGAATCCTGGAGGAGCTACACTCCAAACATCTATGAAGCTCTGGATCTGAGGAGTGTTATGGTCGGGCATTAGCATAATGTTGGACAGATGGTGTACATGCTGCCTTCATGTAAAAGGTAAATATTTTAATCTGCATTTTTTGACTGGTAACAATTTAAATGATTTTTCCATATGACTGTTTACCAACTAACTTCCTGTTTCCTGAACAAAGTCTGTTCAGTCTTTTGATTTTTCATCTTTTGGCGTCTCAGTGTTCCATTGATTTATATAAACTCTTTGTCAGTTTTTTACAAACTTCTTTCTAGTCTTATGTTTACTATTTAATTTAATTGATATTATTTTGATTTACAGAGTCGAAAAAGTGTTTTAAGTCGTGTCTGTCCATCTCACCACATTTCTTGGGAAGGGATAATAGCAATGCTGTAATGTCAGGGTGGGGTGTGAAGTTCTGGTGCTGTGGGTTTTGGACGCTTCCACAAACTTCAGTCTTCCTGAAGACACCACTCTTGACCCACACAGTGCATTAGATCTTGACTCTGACTTCCTGCTCACCCTATTCCCCTGAGGTCTTGAATATTATCCTGAGTCTTAGCCCCATAGACCTTCAATCTCTCAGGTGAGGTCCTAGCACAAATGGCTTGATTATCATTGTTTTTAAGTGCTATCAGTCAGTTCTGACTCATAGTAACCCTGTATAGAGTTTCTGAGAAGCAACTGGTGGGTTTGAACTACTGATGATGTGGTAAGCAGTCCAGTGATTATCCTATAGCATCACACCAGGGCTCCAAATGGCTTGATGGTGGTGGTGGTGGTGTGTCGTGGAGTCAATTCTGACTCACAGTGACCTTGTATAGGGTTTCTGAGGTGGTAAATCTTTACAGAAGCAAAAAGCCTCATCTTTCTTCCACAAAGTATATGGTGCATTTGAACTGCTGACCTTGTAGTTAATAGCCCAACACATAACCCACGATGCTTTCAGTGCTCCTAAATGGCTAGATTGTTGTAGTTAAGTTCCATTGAGTGGCTTCCAGCCCATAGTGACCCTGTATAGCGTTTCTGAGGATAGAACTACTATATTTAAGCACTGTAAATCATCAAAACAATACTTCTGGTCTACACCTGCTTGAAAAGGGCATTTTTGTGCATCAGTTGGGCCCAAATCAAAGCCGCATTCACCAACTTCACTGTACTGCTGTTCCAATGCTAGTACCCTCTCAGGCTCTACCTAACTGGGCCTTCGCTTCCTCATTGGTCTGGCACTGTGGAGCCAGCCTGCCACCTTTAAACAAAATGGATTGTGCTAAAATACACACCACATAAAAGTTGCCATTTTAACCATTTTGAAGTGTGCAATTCAGTGGCATTAGTCACATTCATGAGGAGCCCTGATGGCATAGTGGTTACGTCCTTGGCTGCTAACCAGAAGGCTAACAGTTTGAATCCATCCATAGATGTGGTGGGTTGCTTCCATAATGATTGACAGCCTTGGAAACCCTATGGAGTAGTTCTACTCTGACCCATTGGGTTGCCAGCAACAGTTTTGGTTTTTCACACTCACAGTGTTGTGAAACCATCATCACTCTCTATTTTTAACACTTTGTCATTATCCTGGACAGAAACTCTATCCTTTAAGCAGTAGCTTCCCACTGTCCCCTCTCCCTAGTTCCTGGTACTTTCCGGCTTTGTGAATATGCCTATAGCAGATATTTCATATAAGTGGGATCATGCAATATGTGCTCTTTTGTGTTTGGCTTATTTTACTCAGCTTAATATTGTAGCAGAGTAAGTTAATGCTCTTGGCTGCTAACAGAAAGCTTGGAGGTTTGAGTAAACCCAGAGAAGCCTTGTAAGACAGAACTAGAGAGTTACTTAGGAAAAAAATCAATCACTGAAAAGCCCAGTAGAGCACAGTTCTACTCTGACCCACATGGGTTTGTCATGTGTTAGAATCAACTGGATGGCAACTGCTGGTGGTAATATTGTAGCATGTGACTTCATACCTTTTTATAGTGTTGTTACTAAGCATCATTGAGTTTGTTCCAACTCATAGTGACCCAGTATAGGGTTTCAAGGAGCAGCTGGTGAGTTTGAACTGCAGACCTTGTAGTTCAAACTGGTCTTGTAGTCCAGTGCTTTATCCCACAGTGCCGCACCAGAATTCCATTCCTTTTTATTGCTGAATAATATTCCATTATACACTACACACAGTTGATTCTCCTTATTCATGGATTCCATATTTGAGAATTTGCCTACTTGGTAAAATTTATTTATGAGCTCAAAATCAATAGTTATAGTCATTTGCTAGGCATTCAGAGACACCTGAGAGGGAACGTGAGTCATCTTTTGTCATGTTTGTGGTTAATTCTGTGTTCTGGGAGACTTTATAGAATATTGTTATTACTGTTAAGTGCCACCAAAACGGTTCCGACTCATAGTGACCCTGTATAGAGTTTCCAAAGAGTGGCTGGTGAGTTTGAACCACCAACCTTGTGATTCAAACTGACATTATGGTCAAGTGCTTATCCTAAGGCGCCTCACCAGGATGCCTTATAGAACATAGCTATGATGAAGGATGAGAATGAACTGGGCCACATTTTATTTATCTATCCATTGATGGACATTGGGTTGTTTGCTATTGCGAATGCTGCTGCTATGATTGGTACCAACCATATTGGTACCAACTTGAATCCCTGCTTTCAAGTTCTTTGGGTATATACCCAGCCTGGCTCCTTTCTGAGTTATGTCATGTGAGTCAGCCATTGTGGATTCCACACACTTACCTAAATTTTGATGTGCTGCCATCAGTCCAAGTATAAAGGTCCTGGCAGGGTGTGTTATTACTTTGCTTTTCCTCACGCCTCCTGAGCCCGATCCAGAAATCGCCATCCGAAGCCAAGAGGTCCTCAATGAACTTTTGTATCAATCTCTGTTCATCTTCAGACTCGATGCTGACTAGCTGGCCCTCATCCCTTCTGCAGGTTGCTCTGGCTTCCTCAAAGTTCAGTCTTCGAGAAGCATCATGGAAGTAAATCACTTTATAACAAGGCCTCCGAGTCCCTCCCCGGCAGACTGGCTGCCCTAGAGAAGAAAGAAGTCAATCTGTTTCAGCGTCCCCAAAAGTATACCAGGGTAGGAATGCTTGGAGCTATGGAAACACAGTATGACTTGGCAGGTATCCTGATTACTCATCAATGGAATGATAAAATGTCACTTAGGGGTCCTAGAGCAATTATTACCCCTTCCAGCATGGAGGCACAGTAATTGCAACTCCAATCCCAGTACAGTGTAGGGACTTCATGTTTTGTTTAGCAGAGTTTTTTTTTTTTTTGCTCTTGTTTGAAAGAAAGGTAGATGAATGTGAGTCATCTTTTGTCACATTCCTAACAAGGCTAATTCAGTGTTCTGGAAAGCTTTATGGAACATAATTACAGTGAAAAATGAGAATGGACTTGACCATTGCTAATCTATCCATCTATTGATGGACAGTTGGGTTGTTTCTATTTCACTTAAATATATACAAATAAGTCTTTCATGCCATTAGGGACTCTCAGAGGACACTGTGGCTTCAGGTGAGTTAACTGGTGATTCCTTCATGTAAGAGAGGCAATCTAGAGTCAGGTGTGGTTTTCTCTCTCTTGGAACCTTCTTCCTATGTAGCAGGATTGAGCATTCACTCAGTCTTCGGTGTAACCCAGGAAACCTGGCAACACAATGTGCTAAGTATTAGGCTGCTTTAGGTCAGTGGTTCGAACCCATCAGCAGCTCCACAGGAGAATGATGAGGCAATCTGCTTCTGTAAAGATTTACAGTCTCAGAAACCCTATGGGACAGTTCTATTCTGTCACTATCAGTTGGAACCAAGCCAATGTTAGTGGGTTTGGCTTTATTTTTAAGGGCTTTTCATTTTCATACATACTTTATTTCATTGAAACCTCAGAGTAACTTCCAATTGTAGATATTGTTGTAAGGAGTTCTGGTGGCACAGTGATTAAGTGCTTGGTTGCTAACCAAAAAAACTTGATGGTTCAAACCCACCAGCCGCTCCATGGAAGAAAGCTGTAGCAGTCTGCTTCCATAAAGATTTACAACCTCAGAAGTCCCGCAGAGCAGTTCTCCTCTGTCCTGTAGGATTGCTATGAGTCAGAATTCGACTCAACAGCAATGTGTCTGGTTTGGTTTGGTTTGAGTTTGCAGGTATTGTTTATGAGAAAACTGAGGCTCAGAGAAATTAAGTTAACTGGCTAAGGTCACACAACGATCAGCAGCACTGCCTGAGTTACAACTCACATCGAATTACAAAGTCATGCCAGTAACTACTAAACTATACTGCTCCTTCCAGCTCCACCCCAGGGTCAGCCTGCACTGGGAACCCATGAAGGCCTGGAGACCATTTCAGACAAATGGATGGGGTGCTACTGAACAGTGAATAATAAATCACTCACCAGTGCACACTGCTCTAGCTTGTGTCTGGGTGACAGGAGTCTTGCTATGCCAGAAATAGTAGCATCATTACTCCTTTGCTGAATCAACACTGATTGAATGTATGCTCTGTGCCTGACACTGTGCTGGATGCTGGGGAAACAGAAACAAATACCAGTTTCCACCCCACAGGAGCACACAGCATTGGTTTCTGAAGTGTGCAAAAGTGAAACCGAATTTCAACCAGGGGAGTAGTCCCTGCAATTTGAGAGTCAGATTGTAGACTGTGGGTATAAATTGCTGTTGAAGAGTGAGGGATAGGGGTTTGGTTTGGGGGAACCTCTTTCCAGTCCTCCTGGAATGTTCACATTTCCCTAACTTATTTTGCAGTGTTTAGGCAGCCAGATGGCATTCATTCTCCAAATTCTCAAGAAACCAGGGCAAAAAGCCACAGTTAACTGCATTGTTGATGATAAATGGGAATAGAACACAAAGATAATACAGAAAGCTCTTGTGAATCTTTTATTTTCGATTTCTCTCATCAATTGTATATAAATTCTAACAAGTAACAAGTGATAGAATTTGCATGTTTTCCTATTTCCTTGGGATCCTTCTGTGTTTGCTGCTAATAGAGAAACTCTAAATGGTCCACCAGCAACTTTTTTGCAGGCTTCATCTTTCTCTCAAGGAGGCTGGTGGGTTTGAACCGCAGCTCTTGTGCTTTGCAGTCCAGTGCTTATCCTACAGAGCCAGTGAGCTTTCACTAGCAAATTATTGTTGTTGTTATTAAGTGCTGTGGAGTCAGTTTCAACTCATAATGACTTTGTATAGGGTTTCTGAGGCTGTACATCTTTGTGGGTCCAGAAAACCTCATCTTTCTCCAGACCAGCAAATGAGGAGGCCTCAAATAGTAAGACATTCTCACCAAAGAGGTATTTCCCTGAGGTTGGGAACCACCACTAGCGAGGCTGGGACTAGAAGCTGGGAAAGAGACTGGGCCAGCTTAAGTGATTCCTTAAAATGAAAAATCAATCTCACTACTCTAGAGTCCATTCGGACTCCTAGTGACCCTAGAGGACAGACCAGAATTGCCCGGTAGGCAGGTATCTTTATGTAAGCAGACAGCTACATCTTTCACAGAGCAACGGGTGGGTTCGCCCCTCTCCTTTCAGCATCATCCGAGCTCCCTTGTGATGCCTTAAAGGGACTGTAAGTTTAAGGGGCTGCAAGCAGCAAAGGAGAATGGTGAGAAAGAGGAACCCGCTAACCTGTCCACCTGCATAATAGAAGCAGTTGAATGGTATTGTCTGACTCTGAGGGGACATAACGTTTTAATTGAATCCCCTGTGTGGTCCCAGTCTGGCCACACATCCCGAGTCAGGGGGAGGATACCAGAGTGAGCTAGAGATGGAAGGAGGTCCAAGGACGCATCTGGTCTCTCTGCCTTCAGGAAGTGTCCTTTCATCTGCAGGAAGGGGAAGGGAGGGCGGGCCTTCTGCTCCCCACCCCCTAGGATGGAACCTACGTAGTTTTAACCAAGCAGTTCAAATCAGTTGCCCTCCGCCTTTACAGTCTCGCGCCCCACCCCCATCGTGAAACCAATGTTAGATTCTTTAAATAAAGCTTCTCAGGCGGGATAACTGAAGAGTGGAACAAGTTCCCATCTTCTTATGTTCCGCTTGGCTAATGTGCCGGCGCCCGCGTTCGGGGCCTGAGAGAGGGTCATGGACATTCTCCCCACGGTATGCATAACAACTGGAAAGGCAAGAAGACACAAAACTGTACCTCCTCTGAGGTCCAAGTCCGAGGCTGCAGTGACACGCCAGGAGGAAGGAAGCAAAGAGAGTCATTGTCTGAGTCAGGCGGGACTTCTTTCCCGATCTCTACCAAACCAAACCGAACCCACTGCCGGCCAGTCCATTCCGACTCATAGCGACCCTACAGGACAAGGTCGAACTGCTCCACGGGGTTTCCAAGGCTGTCATCTCAGTTTGCGCCACACCAGAACTCCAGTCTTTACGGGAAGCAGACTGCCACACTTGCTTCTGCGGAGCCGCTGATGGGTTTTAACTACAAAGCAACCAGGACTCAAGTTTCCCAATCTTTGAGCGCTTTCATTCCGGGCTTTGGAGCCCTTGCGAAGCTACCAGTAATGAATAACAAGCAGGGTTCCTACAGCACCCACCGCTGACCCTAAAGCTCCGCTGCCCCCACGGCCACGGGAGGTGGGAACTAGCTGGTGAGCCCGCTCCGCGAGGGTCTCGGGGACTCCCACGCCACACTCTTTGGAGATGCCCACTGGAGCAAGTTTGTAAACTGCCCCATCCCGCCTACATCTGCCTATCCCCGTAACCTTATACCGGGACCGGACTTTGAGTGCTTGGGGACACGCATGGAAATGGGCAGCCTAGGGAAACTTGGGCTCAGGCATCCGGCAATTGCTCCCTCGGAAGCTGGGCGCGCCGGAGTGGGGCGGACTGTGCTACCCTCCTCCCACCAGGCGGAGGGCCAGAAAAGAGGCGCGGTGACCCACAGAGGGTCGTCGGCAGAATGTATGCAGCCAGAGCCTCAGTTCAGCCCGCAAGCATCAGCCCAGCCCTCCAGCCTCCGCCCCAGCGCTCTCACTCACCGCTCAGCAAGCGGCCAGACGCGCCCCCAGGCCCTGCCAGCACCACCATCAACAGCATTGCCAGCAGCGGGGTTCGAGGCTGCATGATCCAGCTCGGAAGCCACCTAAGATTCTTGGGCGCCACCGTAGTGGAGTAGGAGAAGAGCCCTGCGTGCGCTATAGCTGAAATGGTGTTGGCTGCAGCAACATCGCCGGAGGACCGACCGACTGGGCACTGGGAAGAGGCGGGGTAGGCGCAGAGCCAACCGGCCAACCCCTCCGCCCCCTAGGACGTCACTGCGGGGAGCACAGCCCTGCGGACTGGTTTTTCCCAGCAGAGCCGCCTCCTCCACCACGTTGGCCTCACGGGAGCTAGTTGCAGAGGGAGCCATTCTCCTACCCCTAGGAGTCCTAGAGTGGCGCTGCGGGGTAATGCGCTGGACTGCAAAGTCGGTTTGATTCCCTAGGTCGGCGGTTCAAGCTCACCAGCCGCTCCTCTGAAACTTTATACAGGGTCGCTATGGGTTGGAACCGACTTGAAGGCACTTAACTACGACAACAACAAAGCTTTCCAAGGAGATCAAGAATTTGCCCAGTGGTTACGAATCGGGCTGCTAACCACAAGGTCAGCCATTGGAAACTACCAGCGGTTCCACGGGGAGAAAGATGAGGCTTTCTGCTCCCTTAAAATTTACAGCCTCGTAAACACTGCAGGGTCACTATGAGTCGGAACTGATTCCACGGCACATAACAACCACAACCCAGTCCTCAGTGTTGGCTCCCTCTTCTAAATCCCACAATTATTACTTGTGTTTTATATGTTTCTTAAAGCAAGCAAAGTGTTTTAAACTATATTGACATAATAGAGTCCCCCTGTTCAGAGACTATGAAGTAACAGAAGGTGGGCCTGATTTCTTTGTCTTTTCTACTCACACTAGTTGTTGTAAAGCACAGCAGAAGCCCCAACATCTCTACTGACTTCTGGGTTTTGGTCCTAGCATCGTTCTACTTACTTAATCATCCTGCTTTCTAAAGCAACAGTTACTAAAGCTCCCTAGGCGTTGGGCCGCTGCAATTTGAGACGAACAAGCCTGAATTCAGGGTTTTGGTTGTTGTTAAGTTCAAAACCATAGCAACCCTGTATTGGGTTTCCAAGGAGCAGCTGGAGAGCTTGAACTGCCAACCTTGTAGTTCAAACGGTTTTGCAATCTGGCGCACTAATCTACAAAGCGCCACACCAGGACTCCAGAATTCAAGGTCGTGGTCGTGGTCGTGGTCATGGTCGTGGTCGTGATGTGCCGTGGAGTCTGTTACGACTCATAGCGACCCTGTACAGGGTTTCCAAGGCTGTGAATCTGTACGGGAGTAGAAAGCCTCATCTTTCTCCCGCGGAACAGCTGGTAGTTTGGACTGCTGATGTTAAGGTTCGCAGCCCGATTGGTAACTTGGTAGCGTAGTGGTTACGAAACAGGCTGCTAACCTCAGTCAGCAGTTCGAAACTACCAGCTGTCCCATGGGAGAAAGATGAGGCTTTCTGCTCCCATAAAGATTTGTTGTTGTTGTTAACTGCCGTCGAGTTGGTTCCGACCCATAGCGACCCTGAACAGGGTTTCTGAGGCTGTAAATCTTACAACAACAACAAGTAATATGGGGGAAGCTCTGCTACTGCAGAAAACAGCAGCATCCTCGGAAGGTGGATTGACTATTGTGGCAAGTTCATTTAGAGTCTGTCTCAGTGTCACATCTTTCTAGAAATTCCTGGTTATCAAAACACTCAAAGAGAGAACTGCTATCTTGAGAGGAAGTTCTTGACTTGGTAACTGATGCTCTTTTCCAAATCCTGCTTTTCTTCACTTACTGTTTGACCTTCAGTAAGCCCTTTTGTCCTTCAAAGTTTTACTTTTGGTAACAATAATAGTTATCTTAAGAGTTTTATGTGGTTCTGAGGTTTTGTTTTATACTTTTTCCTTTCTTTTTTTAATGGAGTGTGCTGGCTGTCGCTCTATAATTTTGTTCAGATGACTGCAGAACCTGGAAAAGCTGTTGCTGCTGTTGATGCATAACACTGCGATTGGTCTTTTTAATATGTAAATGAATAAATAAACAAATAAAATACATGAAATTAATATATATGGAGCTCTGGTAGCATAGTGGTTATGAATCGAGCTGCAAACCTTAAGGTCAGCAGTTCAAAACTACCATTTGTTCTGGGGGAGAAACATGAGACTTTCTGCTCCTGTAAAGATTTACAGCCTCAGAAACCCTGTACAGGGTTGATATATATATAATCTGAATTTTTGGAAAATTTAGCTGTGCTGTCAAGTTTGGAAAAAGTGTCCTAGTTACAGCCATATTGGTCTAGAAACGTTAAACTTAATTTTTCCCCCCCATTTGTACAGGACTAATGAATTGTATTAAATATATAAGGTTTTATCTACATGGGTTTGATTATAGAAATTAATTAAGTATTCTCTTAAAAAAAAGTCTTATGTGGGTTGTTGGTAAGTGCCATTGAGTTGGGTTCTGACCCACAGTGATCCTGTATAGGGATTCCAAGGAGCAACTGGCTAGTTGAACCGCCAACCTTGCGGTTCAAACTGACTTCGCAGTCCAGTGTATTAACCCACAGTGCCACACCAGGACTCCTGTATATGGGTTAGAAATGGCAAGTATATATGGAAGTATACACACAGCTGGGCACAGAACTAAATGTTCATAAAAAATGTTTAATTCTCAATATTATTACATCGAATAAAGCTTAGAGAAGCTGTTCATTTGGCCCAACTATTTACATGGTTCTTACTCAGAGTCCTTTTGATATCCTAGACTTTAGTCAAGATTGACTTCGTTACGATATGCGGTTAACCTAGTGTGGTATGATCAAATGGTGTCATAGGGGCTTCTGAACAAGTCTAACTTCACAAGTGGGGAGGAGGATCAAGATCTACAGCCCAAGGCTGATTCTTATGAGGTGGAGGTCAAACATACCTCCACCACCCACCATTTTTTGTTTTTGAAACAATTCTGACACCAATGCACGTTACCAATTCTGATTTCCCAAAGCACACTCTATATCTCTGCTGGGTTTGATAGCCATGCAGAGCTCACAGGTAATACTCATGATTATGAGGTTTATTAGAGAAGTTAACAGGTTACAATTCAGGTTCAGAAACAACTCAGGATACAGTTCTGCGAACAGGACAACCTCTTCTCAGTAGTGCCTGCAGACATGGTCTTGGGCCTTTCAGTCAAGAGGCTCCTTGTCCTCTTCCCTGTTTGGGTAAGTGTGACAAAACTCTTTGAACTCTGCTGTTAAATAGAAGATTTGTGGAAAGCAGATTGCCAGGCCTTTCCTCCAAGCTGCCTCTGGGTGGACTTGAACCTACATAGTAGTAGGACATAAAAGTCAAACTCCATTGGAAAGTACTGGCCTTGTCGTTGAAAAATATTTCCCTTTCATGTAACATTGAAACAGGATGAAGAGCACCAGAATTTTGTCAGATATAGTGCCAGAAGATGAGCCCCTTTGGTTGCAAGGCACTCAAAATGTGACTGGGGAAGAGTTGCCTCCTCAAAGTAGAGTTGACTGTGATGATGAGAATGGATTAAAGTCCTCAGGACCTTCATTTGCTGATGGGGCACAACTCAAAATGAAGAGAAACAGCTGTAAAAATCCATTAATAATCAGACCATGGAATGTACGGAGTATGAATCTAGGAAAATTGGAAACTGTCAAAAATAAACATTGATATCCTAGACATTAGTGAGCTGAAATGGACTGGTATTGGTCATTTGAATCTGTCAATCATATGGTTTACTATGCTGAGAATGACTAAGTGAAGAGGAATGGCATTGCATTCATCATCAAAAAGAACATATCAAGAGCAGTCATGAGGTACAATGCTGTTTGTGATAGGATAATATCCATATGCCTATAAGAAAGACAAGTTAATACCACTATTATTCAGATTTACGCAATAACCACTAAAGTCAGTGATGATGAAATTGAAGAATTCTGCCAACTTTCTTCAGTCTGAAATTGATCAAACATGCAATCAAGATGTATTGATCATTAGGGTGAGCGAAATGTAAAGGATGGAAACAAAGAGGAAGGATCCAGAAGTTGGAAAATATGGCCTTGGTGACAGAAACAATGCTGGAGGTCTCACGATAGAATTTTGCAAGACCTATGACTTCTTCATTGCAAATACCTTTTTTAAACAGCACATGGACCTCACCAGATGGAATACACAGAAATCAAATTGACTACATCTGTGGAAAGAGACAATGGAAAAGCTCCATATCATCTGCCAAAACAAGACCAGAGGCAGACTGTGGAACAGATCATCAATTGTTCATATGTAAATTCAGGCTGAAGCTGAAGAAAATGAAAACCAGTCCACTTGAACCAAAATATGACCTTGAATACATCCCACCGGAATTTAGAGATCATCTGAAGAGCAGATTTGAAGCATTAGACACTAAAGACTGAAGACCAGATGAGTTGTGGGATGACATCAAGAACATCATATAAGAAAAAGGCAAAAGGTCATTGAGAAGACAAGAAAGAAGGAAAAAACCAAAGTGGATATCAGAAGAGACACTGGAACTTGTTCTCCAGCATAGAGATGCTAAAGCAAATGGAAGATGTGAGGAGATACAAGAGCTGAACAGAAAATTTCGAAAGTCAGCTTGAGAAGACAAAGTCAAATATAACAAAATGTGCAAAGACCTGGAGTTAGAAATCCAAAATGGAAGAACACGCTCAGCATTTTTCAAGCTGAGGAAATGGAAGAAAAAATTGAAACCTCAACTTGTGATATTGATGGATTTTATGGACAAAATTTATGGAGAAATTTATGGAGAAAAGATTGAAGTTATCAAGGAATTCATTCTTCTTGGTTCAACTATCAACACTCATGGAAGCAGCAGTCAAGAAATCAAACGACGAATTGCATTAGGCAAATCTGCTGCACAAGACCTTTTTAAAGCATTGAAGAGCAAAGATGTCAGCTTGAGGACTAAGGTGTGCCTGACCCAAGCCATGGTATTTTCAATAACCTCATATGCATGTGAAAGCTGGACAGTGAATAAGGAACACCATAG